GTTCCTCTCCACCCAATGTGCCGCGAGGGGAACCTTGCTTCTCCCGGCCTTCTCCTTGCAAGCTCACAGCTTCACTCTCGTCGCTCGAGGTCCGCTCCCTGTTGTTCATAGGTAGAGGTAGAGGTAGAGCTAAGGGTCAGCACAGCGCACACACACTCTCACACTCACACACTTTCTCTCTCGCAGCACGGAAGCTGTGAGCGCAATGGCTGAGGCAATAGCAATGGCGTGTTCGGAGCCCGCCCTTTCCGTTGCTGATTCGTCCCGTCCCCCGTGGAACCAGAAGCGTTCCCTCCCCCCCCAGTGTCTCCTGCCTCCCAACCCCATGTTTCTTCTGTGCGATGACTTGCTGTGTGGTTGCAGCAAGGCCCAGCCGGTGAGGAGCAGGAGCTCTGCCGAGTCCCATGCTCCGACGCCAACCTCACCTCTTCTCTTCTTCCCTCTCTTCCTTTCGTCTTTCCTCCTGCCACAAACTTCACCCTCTATTCTTCAGCTTTCTCATCTCCAATCGGCATCACCACAGCCATTTCCATCATCTACTACTCTCATAAATTCTCGAATTCGGCCATTGAGCCCTTTCCCACCACCGACTGCCACGTCTCTGATTGCGCACTGTGCGCCCACCGGATACCCGTTACGTCATCGCAATGGACCCCAATCCCGTTCCTGGAGCTGTCCCAGCCGCAGCTGGCATCGACAAAGGTGAGCAAGAGATGTCGTGAAGTTCCAGCGGTGTCGCGTCGCCTCTGTACAGCGGCGCTGATGTATGCGCCCTGTGTCGGCTCATCATCTCTCGGTGTACCGGCGCATCGCATCTTCCCCCTCGCCGCGCCTATACTCACGCTCGGACCTTCTTGCGCTGACATTCTTTCCCTTGTACAGCTCCCGAGACTGTTGCAACCACCACCGCCATCACCGCCGCAGATGAGAAACCCACAGAGACTGTAGCTTCGGAGACGAAGCCGGTCGAAGAGAAGAAGGCCGAGGTCGCACCAGTCGCAGAGATAGTAGCTAGTGAGCCTACCGAGCCCGCCGAACTTGCGGACCCTCCTGCACTGGCCCCACCAGCCGATGCGCCAGCTGCGCCAGCTGCGACTGAAGCTACCGCCGATGCGCCCAAGCCGGCTGCCGTCGAGGAGATTCCCGACAAAGACGGCCCCGTTGCGACGACTGGAACCGAGGAGGCCAAGGTCATCCCCGCTGAACAGCCTGCGGAGAAGACGACTGCAACCTCTGCACCCGTCGCCGAGCCCGTCAAGGAATCCGTCGAAGAGCCTATCCCGCAACAGATACTCAAGGCACCCGCGGATGAGGAAGAGGCAGTCAAGGAACCAATCATCGAGAAGCCCGAAGCCGCCAATGGTGCTGCCACCAAGGATGTCGAGATGACCGGTGCCCTTAACGACGCCGAGCCCACCGGTGCTGGAGAGCGCGAGGCCGCGCCGCAGGCCAAGACGAGCAACAAGCGCAAGGCGGACGAGCTAACCGAGACTAATGGTACCAACGGCACCAACGGTACTAACGGTGTCGAAGCTGTCGAGGCTGCTCCGGAGGAAAAGCCCGCAGAGAAGAAGGCCAAAAGAGGCCCTGGACGACCCCCTTCAAATGGCGCTGCGAAGCCAGTCAAGGAGAGTCCTAAGAAGGAGAAGGAATCTTTTGGCCACAAGGTCGCCAGCAAGGTCAAAAAGGTTCTGCACTCCCCCGGTCGAACTGAGCGCAAGACTCGCTCTCAAGGACCCGTCTAAACCAGGCCACGCAGTGAGCCGGATGCTTCTGAGGCACGTATCTGTATCGCCTCGGATTTCCTTGGATGTCAAAGAGTCCCACAGACTACTCTAACAACAACGAGACCATGATGGTCGAGGCTTGGGTTTGGACCAGCCGGGCGGGCGTCTCTCTTTTCACCCCGCGGATTTATGATGGGTAGGCAAAAAGGAGGCGCGGGTTTTTGTTTCTGCTTTTTCACCTTTTTGTCATTGTAGCTCAGGTCGTCGTCGTATCGAGACTGAGTAGTAGGAAACTAGGATACTGTATATACTAGGACGCTTGCACATTCAGTCTACCAGTCTCGTCGTGGTCTTTCTTATGCAACGGGTGATGGCAGAGCAAGGTCGATGGACGATTCTACTCAGAAACACGGGCAGTCGAGAATTGTGAGGCAATCATGGCATTTGCCGAGAACTTTTGTTTACTTGCTTCCGTGTCCTCGCTCTGATGGTCATCAAGAACGACAAGTGACAATCAACAGGTCAACAGCAGACATGTGAGATCAAGTGACGAGGGTGCAATGCCGAGTCGGAAGTCTGACTATTTCAATCGTGAGCGAGCCCATCGAACCCATGCTTGTCGATTAGAACGTGCCTTGAGGCTCAGAGGCGCAGGCAAGAATTTGCCTGATGGCTGGGTAGGATCCTTGAATCAAGATATCATGGATTCTGATAACTCGATGGTTTGACTTGACACTTGAACGTCGATGGTGCAAGGTGACGGGGCCTCGAATGATGTATCAACCCTTTCTAAACGCCCTTGTGAGTTTTATGAATAAGCTGATATGATGGCCGCTGCGTTCTCAACGCGTATCTCCAGCTTAGGGGGAAGTCGTGATATCTACAAAAAGCACCTCACTCACGCACCCACGCACAGGCACCCTAGGGTTAGGTATTGTACATCTCGATCGCCTACATATCGGACTGCTAGCAGCAGTGCTCCGAGTCGGAAGCAACTTGTGGAACTTGCGCCAACGTCTTTGGATACTCAAACGCTGTCCGAGTCACAGATACGGAATAGCTTCTGATCATCTGTTTGACCGAATCAATGGAGCAAAGAGGTGGGATGACGTCTACAGGATACGCGGGGGTTTCGACTCGGGGCGAGGAAAGGCTCCTTTCGAAGCGGTCCAGACCGTGACGGGAGCAGTGGGTTTCTCCACCCACCGCGTCACCCCGAAAGTCAAGGGTTTGTCGATCAATTCGTTGTCGACTTACGTGGGTGCGGGTTTAGGGGGGGCGTGGCAGAGAAGGAGAAGCTGCAAGCACACGCGATGTGTCTTTTCTCTTTTTTTTTTTTTTTTTTTTTTTTTTTTTTTTTTTTTTTTTTTTTTTTTTTTTTTTTTTTTTTTTTTTTTTTTTTTGGTCTGTTGCCCTCTGGCTTGGATCACCTTCTGTCCGCGTACTTTCAGCCCTTTTGAGGGTTCACATCACTCAGGAACAGGCTGTGCCGGAATGAAGGATGTTTAAGAAGCTTCGGGAGATGGGGAATGGGAACTGGGCGTACTTGGCGTGTCTCTCTTACAAGCCGAGGATGGAGGGACGCGTGTGTCTGGTTATGTGTGACGACAAACGTCTTTCTTACGCAGTCAGAAGAAAAGAGATAAATTGGGAGAAACATCACGTCTATCTGGGCCAACAAGACAGGGGACCAACACCGTGAGGAATGTGCGCCTTCAGCCTCAGACCCAGGCGTGCGTGCGAGTGTGTGTGCGTATGTTTACTTGCGGCAATCCGAATAGGGAAAACAAGTAAACAATGAGGGAGCATGGACACGGACGCTAAGCGGTTTCGAGGAAAACGCAGAGATGGCGGTGGCGTTGCGCTGTGTTTTGGTACCTGACTCTGCGCCTTTGTCGTGTGTCTATTGGGTATGGAAAGTGTGAGGCTGACGGTAAGGTCTCTCAACATGTTTTACAGTTCAAACGGTACGGCGTCGTGGCGGCGGTGGGAAAGCGCACGGAAAAGGTTGCAAATGGTATAGGTAGAGGCCGCCGTCGCTTTGGGGGGGGGGGGGGCGATGAAGCTCTGTGACGTAGGGGATCGATCTGGGTCTTACTGCGTAGGTAGGTAGGGTCTTGTGCAACAAAAAAAAAAACGGGCCGGTTGGGAACGACGTAGATGGGATCTGGGCTTCTTCCGTTTTCGTGAGCGGGCAGAGGGACGGTGGCTTAAGGTAGCTTAGCTTCCTTTTGCATTTGTTCTGGAAAAGGCGGCGGGAGTCGCGGGAGGGGAACATCGGTGGTCTTGGCGATGGAGGGGGATTGGGGTGGACGGCTTACCTCATTTCAGCTTGACTGTCAAGCCTCGGCGGAGTTTGGTTCGTCTGTGAGGTTGAGAGTCTTCAGTTACAGACTTGCGATGGTACGAGATAAGGTGTCATCATGTTCAGGAACAGAACACCCAGATGTTGTGAAAGGTGTGTGTGGATTAGACTGATAGGGTGAAAGGGTTGAAGCAGAAAGAATAAGGAATGCTTATTTCTCATGTCATGCATCATCCCCCGAGGAGCAGGGTGGCTGAGCACCCTGTAAAGAAATGCTCCGATTGAGGGAGTTCCTCTCGCTATTCTAGAGTCTATCCATCTATGATAGCGATCCCTCCGTGGTGGTGCATGGTGTATGCTCCTCGCTTACCTTACTCACCGGTCGATTCCTTGACGCTTAATCACCGCGCCTATTGAAGTAGTACTGTAACAGCGAATTCAATCTTCTTGATCAGAAGTTCAGAACCCCCATCTTCTGTCCCGTCTCTCCACAAATGACCAAACCTCCCCAACTTCCCAGAGCCCCCCAAAAGGACCTCCCCTCAATGCACAGCCCTGTCGGCGAGTCGCTGCCGGGGTCTTGCCTGTCATGTGAACCCTCTTTACTGCGTAGTCTACTCCGTAAGGACCACTATAAACTTGTACGCAGCAAAAGGTTGGAAACGACTTCCCTTTCGGCATTGGGTCCTGCGGGGACACTTTGTTCCCCCTTTTTCACTTAACCTGACACGGGGGGCGCAAGGTGTATCCGTACGCTCGAGCACGGGATAGTAATCCGTGCCGTTGTCTGTAAAGAAGAGGGTTATTGTGAGAAGAAGAAAAAAAATTCATCAAGAGGAATCATGATGCTGGAAACGGAGGAAGAAACGGAACGAATTTGGCGCAGTGCAGTAAACGTCTAGAACTCTTTCGGGATAAACTGCGGCATCAAACTTTTCTCCCATGTGGAATGATGGCATTTCTCGCCTCTAGCGCGGGACCAGAGGAGGCTTGCTGCACATCTCGGATGCCACACGCGAGCAAAGACCCTTTTCCTCGATATGTGTTTGTATTCTTCCAGGTACAGATCTTCCGGTCCTCCGTACTGCTTGAGCATTTCGGCCGTGTAGAGGACGCCGATGGGAACAGGAGCCCTCAATCGGCCGGATACGTGATATCCCGACCTGCATAAGATGAAGAATGGTATCCGTATGAAAGGTATGAAAGGACTTTGTTGAATGGGCCTCGTATTCATCGACCACCAATCCATCCCCTTCTTGCCGCGAAGAGCCTAGCATTCCTTGGGGATCGTCTGCCACTACACAAAAAGGGTGCAGGGCCACAGGGCGTGTGATGTGGGTGAGTGGGACACACATTCGAGGTGTCAAAAATAGCCACAGCCACAGCGAGCGGCGGCCCTGCCGATGCGCTACAGCGCTACTACGCGGTATGCAAAGCGTTCCCGTGCTTCTGGGGGGGGGGGGGGGTCCATGCTGCTCTGGGCTCTTCCATTGAAGCCAAGCGGCGGCACGGCATCTCGCTGGTGCTGTGGACGGAGTACTTTGTACAGTAGTGGTGGGTGTCCCGAGCTCTGACAGAGGGAGAGAATTTTGGATGGCAGTTTTTAGGGTATTCTGCCCAATGAGGTCGTCGAATGCTCCGTCTTCTTTGCGATTCCGTCCACGAGACTGAGGAACGACACCTGGCTGGAGGTGCTGGTTTGTGTACGTACCGAGGCTGGATACCCTACTACGTACCTCATGTTCTTCCAACTGGGCGTTGCATGTTCCTGCAGATGCTGACATGTAAAGACATGCATTGTACACGGAAAACTGCCATCGTGAGATGTATTCTAGAATACGAAAATCTAACATTCAATAGTAGACTTACTTAACAACCCCAGAATCCCATCAAACGTAAGGTGAGCAGACAGGAAGCAAATAGCCACAATGTCAAGTGGAAGAGTGAATGACTTGAGCAGCAGGTACACAAAAGGATACGTACCGCATCCCTCAACCTGGTAGTGGTGGGTCGGGTAAAGTGGGTCTCAAGCCTCGAGACCCTATTAGCGCAAGAATTGCAAGGACCTGAGGCGAACCAATCCCCTTGGCCGTGTTTTTTTACGTATGCATTTTTTATGATCTTTTTTTCATGCTGTGTTTTTTTTTTGTTTTTTTTTTTGCTTTCCAAGGTACGGAGTAAGGTGCCGCAGCTACCTATCCGTACCTAGTAACACTGCGCAGTATGTATGTATGTGAATGAGTTTTTCCTGGGCTGCCAACCGCACTCCTCCAGCGATGGACCCGGATATCGGCGCACCCACCGACTGGGATGTTCCAGGAGTGACATACGCAATCCTCCAGGCTCAACAAGCTTCCTCTCCAGTGGTCTTTCCTTCTCGCTGTTCTCCTCCACGCCTCTCCACCTTTCCCATCCCTCCTTCATCCCATCCGTCCCCTACTCCTACCGTAAGGTACATAGCAGTCCTTCACTGTCTCTTCACCATCCCTCCGTGTCGTGCCGTAACCTAAACTCCGTCCTACATACGCTCGCTTCAAGGCCGACTTCCCCTCGCTTTTCCCAACTCTTCCCTCCTCCTCCTCCTCCCCCCAATCCCGCGATCCCGCCGACCCTCCGCCAGTCGTTCCAATCTCCCCATCGTCTCCCTCTCTTCGCGCCGCTTCGACGACATCTGTGGCTCCACTGATTGTCCCATTCGAACCCTCCCGTTGCTCGCGTGCCTGGGAACCAGCTGCTCCTTTCCAAGGGCCCTTTTGACGATCTCTTCTCTCCCCGACTCTCGCTACAGCAAACCACGTCATCCATCTGATTTCAGGCCTCTTTGCTCACTTCCCAGCGGTCTTTGTGCGCCCGGTAACATTACACGGCGACCCAACCCGAAAACAATTCTTTGCGACGAACAACCAGTAGAAGCCCCCGTTGAACAAGCCCCTGTGCCATCGTCCTGAATCCAAATCACCCACTCGACTAGCCGATCGAGTTTCTCCCTCGACCACCATTTTTCGAAGATTTGGTGCAAAGATAACATCAACAACCAGATCTCTCGCTGCCCTCTTCCTCGCCGAGGCCAACTAGAGACGCGACTCGCCCCCCTCGCCCCAAGGGGCCTCAACCTTCAAGATGAGCACCGACGCCGGAAAAGAGCTGTTGGACTTGCTGAAGAACCCCTTCAGTTCTCAGGTCTGTAAACCCTCCATCACTACTGAGCTTTTGACAATTCGCGCTGGATGCTGACTGCCATATAGCTCGCCAAGAACTCAGTCTGGGCTGCTCTGGGCACCTCACTCGGTGTCACTGTCGGTATCGCCGTCACCTTCTCCTTTCTTCGACCGTACAATCAGTCCGTTTATGCGCCCAAGTTGAAGCATGCCGACGAGAAACATGCTCCGCCGCCCATCGGCAAGAAGATCTGGTCCTGGATCCCGCCACTATGGAATACGACCGAGGATGAGCTGGTGCACCATGTCGGCATGGACGCCACCGTCTTCCTCCGCTTCGTTCGCATGTGCTTATACATCTTCGCGACCATCTCTGTGTTTGGCCTCGGAATTCTGATTCCCACCTACCTCAGCACTGCAGAGAGCAGTTCGACCAAGGATAGATCCTGGATCGACTTGATTACTCCCATTGCAGTATGGGGCAATGCGTATTGGGCACAAGTCGCAGTTGCGTATATCATCACCTTTGTTGTTATGGGCTTCTTGTGGTGGAACTACCGCAAGGTCTTGCGCCTCCGACGCAAGTATTTCGAGAGCGAGGAGTACCAAAACAGTTTGCACGCCCGGACCCTCATGGTAAGATTGGTTTTCGGATGACGTACTACTGGGAGCTTCAAACTGACCCTAGTAGATGTATGATATTCCCAAAGCCAAATGCTCCGACGAAGGCATTGCGACCATCATCGACGAAGTTGTGCCGGCCTCATCCTTCTCTCGCACCGCCATCGCCCGTAACGTCAGGGAACTCCCCAAGCTGATCGAGCAACATGACCATACCGTTCGCAAGTTGGAGGTGGTACTGGCAAAGTATATGAAGAAACCCGACCAACTCCCGGCTGCCAGACCAATGTGCAAGCCCTCCAAGAAGGACCCGTCTTTCGCGACGTATCCCAAGGGACAGAAGGTCGACGCTATCGAATACCTGACACAGCGCATCAAGGAGCTCGAACTGTTGATCAAGGAGGTTCGACAGAGTGTTGACAAGCGAAGCACCATGCCCTATGGCTTTGCCAGTTACGCAGATATTGCAGAGGCGCACAACATTGCCTACGCCAGCCGCAAGAAGCACCCGCACGGCGCAACAATCACCATGGCCCCGCGCCCGAACGATATTCTGTGGGATAACCTGGTCCTGACGCCCTCGATTCGTCGCACAAAGCGTATTGTGAACAACCTCTGGATCGCGTTGCTTACCATTGTCTGGATCGCTCCCAACGCCATGATCGCCATCTTCCTCATCGACCTCAACAACCTCGGTAAGGTCTGGCCCGCTTTCCAGACGGAACTTCAAACCAATCCCGAATGGTGGTCCATTGTCCAAGGTATCGCATCTCCTGGTTTGATGTCGCTGGTCTACCTCGTCCTGCCCATGATCTTCCGTCGACTCTCGATGAAAGCTGGAGATCAGACCAAGACGGGTCGTGAGAGGCACGTTTTGGCCAAGTTGTACGCTTTCTTCGTGTTCAACAACTTGATCGTGTTCTCGCTCTTCAGCACCGTTTGGTCGCTTGTGTCGGCTATTGTGAGCGAGACCAGCGAAAAGAGCGTCGACGCCTGGCAGGCCATTATCGATCAAAACTTGGCAACCACCATCTTCACGGCGCTTTGCTCAGTCAGTCCCTTCTGGGTCACTTGGCTCCTCCAGCGCAACCTTGGTGCTGCCATCGATCTCGCCCAGCTTTGGAAACTCATCTACAGCTTCTTCGTGCGCAAATTCTCGAGCCCGACGCCCAGAGAGCTCATTGAGCTTACGGCACCTCCCACCTTTGAGTACGCCTCTTACTACAACTACTTCCTCTACTACGCGACAGTTGCACTGGGTTTCTCTGGCATCCAGCCCTTGGTTCTTCCTGCCGCCGCGTTGTACTACGGAATCGACTACTGGCTCAAGAAGTACCTCTTGCTCTACATCTTCGTCACCAAGACTGAGTCTGGAGGTATGTTCTGGCGCGTGCTCTTCAACCGAATGCTCTTCGCCGTCTTTCTATCCAACTGCGTCTTCTTCCTCAGCTCATGGGCGCGAGCCGACTGGGCCTACCATAGCCAGGCCTTCGCCATTATCCCTCTGCCCATTTGCTTGATCATCTTCAAGGTCGTCTGCTCCCGATTGTACGACGACAAGATCCATTACCTCTCGACCACCAACGTTGCCAAGCACCCCGAGGCTGGCGTGATGAAGGAAACTCGCCTTCGCAGTGAGCGCTTGGCTTCGCGTTTCGGCCACCCGGCCTTGTACAAGCCTCTCATCACTCCGATGGTGCATCAGAAGGCCCAGCCTTACTTACATGTCGTATACAAGGGTCGCCTTTCGGACGGAAGAGATGTCAACACTGGCGACATGATGAGTGTTTCTGGATACTCGGACGTGTACGCGTTGGATCCCATGAAGTCTGGCAAGCCTGGCAAGTCGGCCGGTATTCCCGGTTTCGAGTTCGTTTCCGAGTCCAACCTGGATTTCGAATTCTACAAGAACAGAGCGGAATTCGCAGAGGAGCATGGCCAAGGCGACATCTTTGGAAGGGATCCTGACATCATGCGCCCCGGCACCCCTGGATCAATGTCCGATTTCGGCTCTCGCCCCGGAACGCCCACGAATGCTGCTTTGCAGGGCGGCATGACAGGTCAGCGCCGCGACATGTCCGGTTCTAGGCCTACTCCGCCTGCCGGGTACATGTCGCCAACTGGAAGCGGCCGTCAGTCCCCTACCATGGGGCCGCCCCAAGCTGGCTTCGCTCAACAAGCGACCATGGGCGAGCGGTCCCGTAGCCCCCTGTACACCATCAACAGCAACGGCAGCGACACGGCGCTCGTGAGAAATGCCGCAGGTATGCCGATGAGCGCACCCACGGGTGGACCGAGTGTTGGCGCCCTGGGCGGCGGACCGAGGGGGTATAGTGGACTTCCTCAGGCTGACGCCGAGACGCCCGACCCAGACCCGACCCAATACGACTACTTCCGTGGGTCAGCAAGGCGGCGCCAAAACGACCAATGGTAGTTGACTGAGAAGGTGTCATGATTGGTTTTCAATTTTCTTTTTGTGTTGTGAGCGATGGTAGAGCGAAGGGTTGCCTCACGGTCCGGGATCTGGTCTCCATGTGATGGCATTGCATTCTCGGCGTTGATTTGAGAGAGGGGGGAGCCCGAAGAGAGGTTCTTCCATGGGTGGACTGCGGGCTGTGAGCAACAGGATCCCTCGTCATCTCGACCGGGCCCTGTTTGTACTTTTTTCCTTATTCATCAAAATGGTAATGATCAAAGAGACGAGACATAGACTGAAGATATGCGTGGGACGATGGTACATAACGGTGCTCTCCCTCGAGCAATTGTTTCCCCTGGCGCGAAGCTGGTAGGAAACAGATTATAGATTTAATGAGTAACCCTTCCGCATTTCTTGTTCATGACTTGTTTGGTTCCCATTGGTTTAGATGTGACTCCCTAGTTAGATACCTGTTGATCCTTTCATCTGTCGCGGGGCAGTGTAGTCGTACCACATATTGATCCCAACACCTTTCATCTCTATTATCATTACTTTGGTTTTCTGTCTGAGGATACTTCATCTCGACGGTATAATCGTCTAGGAGAAACTAGCTTCTCTCGTAATCTCATCAACTTTACCCCAATTACCAATTTCTCACAAGCGCTCGCCCTCGGCAAGCTTTCTCGTCCACACCTCCAAATCACCAGCTAACCCCTCAACGACCTCCGGGCTGGTAACGGCCTCGTTCCACGTCAAGGTAATCGTCGTCTCGCCGCCAGCGATGCCGGCTACGTTGACGCAGAAGGCTTGGGCGACGGTGCCGGCTGATTGGGAGAAGACGGCGCGGGTTAATTTCCACCCGTTCTCGCCCTCAGCCTCGGCCTGGCTGTCGCTGCTTCTGCTGCCCTCGATGGCGCCCAGGTTACTCACCTCCCAACTATTCCCCCTCGCCTTGCCGTCTTTTTTCCGGAAGAAGTCGTGGAAGTCGCTTACGTAGCGGAGCATTGCTGTGATGTCGTCGTTGGGCAGGCTCGTTAGGCGAGTTTGGAGGTCGGTTTTGACGGAGGATGCGACGGTCCAGATTGCGGTTTCGAGGGTCGGACCCGAGGAAGCGGGGGAAGAGTTGCGGAGGGCGGCGGTGAGAGACTCTGAGATGGGATGACTCGTCGAGGTTACCAGGACGCACATTTTGTTATCGATGTCGAGAGTTGGGTCTCGCACGAAGCGGCGCATGCTGATGGCGGATGACGGTTCAAAGGACGGTGCTGTGTTTGAGGGGAGATGTCGCGCGAGGGAGGCTGCGACGAGGGCGTGGATGAGGGGCGTCAGAGTCAGGCCTTGCGCGCGGCATGCTGCGAGGAGGTTGGAGACTGTGAGGGCGGGGACGGTGACGATGCGGACGTTTGTGTGGAAGGGCGTGTCGAGGCGTATGGCTTCGCCCGTCCAGGGCGTCGCGGCTGGCTTCGGTTTGAGCCAGGCGGGGCCGAATGCGGACCATAGTTCGCGGAGGAAGTAGGGCCAGGAGATGCGGCCGTTGACGAGGTTTTCTTGGGGGAGGGGGAGCGTTGGAGGGGTTGGGAGGGTGAGGATGTTGTTGGACTGGAGGTGGTGGGTGGTGGAGGGGGAGGGGTTGTTCAGGGCGTGGAGGAGGCGTTTGTGGAAGATTGAGCCGCTTGTGCCGTCGCTTATTGCGTGGTGGAAGAAGTAGAGTACTTCGATCTCTGTTGGTGGTTCACAGCCTTGTGAGGGCTGGGTTGGGATGATGGAGATCTTCCATGGTGGACGTTGGGAGATCTCGGGCCACAGTTGGTCGTGTTGGTGGGAGAGGTGTTTGCAGAGGGTCGCGTCCGGGCCGCTGGCACCGGTGTTGAAATCGGGGCCGGAGCGGGGGTGGGACGGAGGGAACCACTGAATATGGTTTGACAAATTGATTTGTGGCACGCGCACGAACGAGGACGTCTGTTTGTCTTCGTCGGCGATGCCGACCTGCATGAAGGGTTGCTCTGCAATGACCTGTGCGACGGCGTCTTGGAGAAGTTGCTTGGCTTGGGAGAGGGTTGAGATGCCCTGTGGGAGCGCGTAGCGGCCGGTGACGGCGACGCAGCGGTAGAGGCCAAGGGAGTGGCGGGCTGTTGAGTACGTTTCCCTGTGTTCATGTCAGTTTGGTTCGTGCGAGGGTGGTATCAGGAAAGTGAGTTTGAATGTATCGTACATGTTGCCGCATGGCCGGATTACTTCTGTTTGGGGGGTCATGACTTGCTACTTAGTTGGAGCTGGTGTATGGATGGCAGACGATGATTCTCGTCAATGGGACTAAGAAGTTTCTAAGCAGATTAGTCGTGAGTCGTGACTGCTAATGATGAACCAACACTTTGTGAGGTATGCTTATGCTGTTCATTCGTGATGTACTCCGTAATGACTGCTCGGATGAGCTGGAGCCTGGAGATGACGGGGTATACTGGATTCCTCCGCTTTGTTGCGTCGAGTTCCTGGTCCCTGCAGGCGTTCCTGAGCGCCCAGGGGTTCCCATCCTGAAGGGGCATAGGTCCCCGAGTTGACTGAATGGGCCATTGGACAGGGGTTGGGCATGACGAGTCGTAGCGGTATAATGTTCGCTTAGGATATGAAAGTTGAATGAGCTGTGGGGGCCCTCGGATAGTGAACACGACATCAAAGAAGATTAGCCAGGCACGCCAGACATGTGAACAAAGGTCGTTTGTTATTCTGGGAAACAAGACCCAGAAACGTGGTTACGGGATACCGTTAAACGTCTTTGAGAGCCGCGTGACGGCGCGCCGTTTCCAGAACGGGGATCGGCCATTCAGGGTCCAGACCGGCGCAATTTTGGAGCTTGGACCATTTTGGACCGGAAGGTCCCGATTAGTCATTTCCTATCTGTTTTTCCGCCCCGAGATTAGGAGGGGCAGTGTGGGGGTTGATCCAAATGGGAAAGAAGCACCAGGGGTGGCCCCCGGTCAATTTCCCTAGGAAGACGCGGTTCACCACTTGCTCGCTCGCCGACCCAAAATATTGTCTTTCCCCATTGCGCGACCACCTTTCCCCTGATGACAATGCGAATAAACACGGCTAGATTGACCATCTCGGCCTCATAGCTTTGAAAAGCTCGTGTCGCTGTTTCTACTGCGTTCTCGTACTGTTATGACGCGACCAGTCGCCAAATCGCATCGCAAGAAAATGCAGCTGCGCGCAGCTTGACAACATACCATCACCACTACACTGTCGCCACCACTACCTTTGAACGTGGCCACAACCCCAAAACGCCATGGAATACAATCGATCGCCGTCGTTCGGCCTCGGCGCTCGAGCGAATCGTCGCGCTTCTACTCAATTGACTATCGACGAGGAAGGCCGTAAACCACTATTCTCCAAACCCTCCCGAGAGAGCCTCGAGCCTCAGAATCCCTCACCAGCTGCGGCAGGAAGTAACAGATTCGGATACTCGCCAACAAACGCCCAAACCAGTGCGACCGGCCGAACCCCCTCTCGCGCCGCGATCCCCCGACCTTCGAGCTCCCTTTCGCAGACGCCCTCCCTCAATTCGAACCACTCCATCGAGATCGTGTCTCCCGGCTCTCGCATCCCCAGACCCAAATCCACAATTGGCATTTTCGCCAAAGGCTCCGGAGTCTCCGTCGCCGAGGCCTGGAAGCTGGCGGATGAGAACCGTGTCCAAACCCTCGAGAAGGCGCGGCGAGCTTCCCCCGCAGCCATCGACGCATCACCAAGCCCTGCCCCACGCCCCTATACCAATCGACAGGTCTCGGACGAGTCAAAATCGCGGCGATCTCTTGGCAAAGATGCGGTCGACTACAGCCGTCCTAGACCCCTTTCGAGGATGTCGAGCGACTCGTTGCGAGACAGCTACGTGGGACGGTACGGCGGTGGTCCAGGCTCGAACAGTCTCTCTAGCTCTGGAAGCTTCGATCGTCGACTGAGTCAATACGAACGGGAGATGGCAGAGTCGCCGAGCGCGTCTCGGGACCAGGAACATTTCTTTGGTAAGACCAGAGTAGGGCCAAAGATTGCCGAGACAGGACACACCCTGGCGAGGAGGACAAGCAACAGCAGCCTTAACGGGTCTCAGAGTGCGAACCGGCGGGCAAGTAACAGCAGCTTGAACGGAGGCCCGGGCTTGGGTAGGAGGACAAGCTACGGCAGTTTGAACGCCAGTCCGCGTCCCGGAGCATTCGCAAAGAGTCATGTTCCTGAAGGACACATCAAGGAGCTCCTGGAGCAGGATGAGAAGGGTATTAAGCGATCCGCCAGGCCGAAACCAGACGATGACAATGCAGCCGATACACCGTTGCCCTCTGTAGAGACCTCCCGTCTGCCTCAGGAGCCCACTCCACCAACCTCTCGCCCGGCTTCTACGAACCCGGATTACCGATCCCCGGACAAGAGTTACGCGTGGCAGCTCGACGCGGATTTCACGGCGGGAGACTTGCAGATTTCAGACAGTCCACGAATAAGAACCGATGGCGCTGGCTTCAGCGAAGCCTCCGATCGACGATCCTCATACAGCAGCGCTTATGCTGAAGAGCAGCTCTTTGGGCTGAACGGAAATCTCAGGCGGGAGTCATCGCTAGGGCCTTCTCCTCGTGCTGGGCGCTCTAATACTAGGATCGACGAGATTCGTCAGCGGGAAGAGAAAGCCAAGGAAGAGCTTGCCGAGTCACGAAAGGCGCTGCCAAGAGCTAGAAACAATACAAGGCTGGAGGAGATTCGCGAAAGAGAAACAGAGGCAGAGGAGCATTTCGCGAAGCTACCCCGACGCTCCTACTACCCGACACCCGATGATTTACCAGACCGTGAAGAAGTTGATACACAAGCCCCGCCAAAAAACACGAAACTCGACGAGATACGAGCCCGAGAAGCCGAGTCATTGTCTAAGAAGGCCGTCGCCACTAGTCGATTAGAGGAGATTAGGGAACAGAACTCAATGATGTCGAGATCCATGTCGCCGGAAGCTCGGCGAAGCGAGGACTTTGCGAGAGAGTCGACGCCTGTCCGAGAAGCGGCTGGGGAGTCAGTGTGGCCCACAGAGGACGGCGAACATGTCGCCAACACGCCTGTCACAATCTATCGCAACTCACCTGTACGGGAGCGAAACAAATCGCTGTCTGAGTCGCCGGCGAACCGAAACGAGCGGGCGAGTCCCAAGTCTGCGAGGCCATTGGGTGCGCATGCGCGAACGGACTCGAGAGACTTGTTGCAGAGGCTCGCCAGAGCTGCAAGTAGCAGCCCTGCTCCTGAATCCAATAACCAGCCCGCAGCTACAGATGAGAAAAAGTGGCCAAGCATTGAAGACCTCGAGAAGGAAAGGCTGGAAAAGGCGAATCAGGAGGTAGAGAGATTGGAGAAGGAGAGACGAACGAGAGACAGGCTCGAGAGGGAGAGACTAGAGAGGGAGAGACTCGACAGGGAGAAGCTGGAGAAGGAGAGGTTGGAGAGAGAGAAGATCGAGATGGACATGCTCGCTAAGGAGAAACTCGAGAAAGAGAGACTCGAAAAGGAGAAGCTCGAAAAGGAAAGACTTGAGAAAGAGAAGCTTGAGGAGGACAAGCGTGAAAAGTTGAAGCTTGAGATGGAAAGGCTCGAGAAAGAAACATCCAAAGAGACTTCGCAGAGAGCCGAGACACAGCGGCGCAGAAGCGAGCCTAGACGGTCTGCCCCCGAACCCGAACCTAAGGCCAGTCCACCACGACGAAACCGCAGAGAAACTATCAAAGTGTCCGAGCCAGCTTCTACTGAGACGAACGGAACAGATGACTCCAAGTCCAGTTCCACGGACGAACTGAAAGCGCCGGAGGTAGGGAGGCCCCAATCTCGCGTTGACTTCGCTGCAAGGCGCCGAGAACGTCGTCAGAGGTCAACCGACTCAGCCAAGGACAACCGTAAGAGCGTGGCCTTGTCGGATGGTGATCCTACCGACCGCATCGAACAAGAGAGGAACCTTTTCGCGCCTGCGGACAACCAGTCTGAGCGTGGATCGAGAGCACCTTCTGCAGAGCCTACTACCGAGGATGAGGATAAGGACCTCGCCGGCGAGACTCCCCGGCCGAAGAAAGTCGACCCGCTATCTCTCCCTACACCTAAAGTGACTGGGGCTTACGTCGAGACGCCTGCGACGCTAAAGGTTGAGCGTATCGAGGAGAGTACCCTACCCCCATTGAAGAGGCCTGACCCTTCGTCGAATGCGACTTTCGATAGACCGCAGAGCAGAAGAGGATCACGGCCAACCTCAAGAGCAGGCACATTCTTCAAGGCCTCCGAGTCTGGCTCCGAAACGAGTGATCAGAAGGAGACGACCGGAACGAGTACTACTACCAGCCTGCGACGCCGGAATAGATCGACCTCTCGGCCGCGCAAACCTCTGACCAACTCAGTCAAGCCGCCGACAGTCAAGGACGATATAAAGGAACTGCAACGCATCCATCAGATTGAAGACTCTACCTTGGACGATTTTGAGGAGCTGTTTAACATGCAGAAGCTCCAAAACGACCCCGACCTGGATATCGAGTCGATGCTCGATGACATTGCGGTCAAGAAAGAGGAAGTCGCAGCCAAGCCGAACATTCCAACGAGTCAGCGAAACCACGAGCTGGAGCAGTACGACAGGATGAGCAAGACATTGAAGGACGGGCTATTCAACATCCGTAGTGCCAAGCAGGGCATCGAGCGCTTGGAGGGGCAGGTGTCTCACGCCGAGGGCGGCAAACATGATGATGCTGCTACACTTGAGAAAGTGTCGGAGAAGCAGCCGCAAGCCAAGGGGTCGCATCACCGCCACAACCTGGATCACGCTCGCGATTGCCCAGACTGCAAGAGCCAGACTCCCATCAAGGAGGTGTCGTACCTTCACCTTCCTGTGCCTAGCCTTTACCGTCGCAACCCCTTCCGCCTTACATTCCTTGGGCTGATGCTTCTCCTTATGTCGCTTTGGTATGCCGCTGAGTCTGCCATGTGCGAGGCTTACTGCCGACCAACTTCATGTTCATCGACACCTTGCGTCTGGTCACCGACGGATCCCACTTGGGGTGTTGCTATTCCTGTGAAGCTCGATGAGTGGGCCACAGGTGGCTTGGGCCGGCAACTCGCAAACCAATACTCCGAGGAGGCATCAGATCTTTGGGCGGATGCGTTGGATTTTGTGACAGGGACCGATATTACGACTATTGATATCAACACACTTGACTTTTACGACAAGCGACAACTCCGTCGTCGTCTTCGCAAGAAGGGACTTGCGAAGCGGACAGTCGTCGAGTCAGCCAACGACAAGGCCAAGTGGGACGCTTGGCACGCCACGCGCGTGGCCAGCGAGAGGGCGCAAGACGCGAGAGAAATGGGGTATGATATCGGCGACGCGGATGAGAGCCTTGGAGACGATGAGATATTGTGAGAGGAGGTAATTATTCCCGGTTGTTGTACATTACTACTAGTCTTTTACATGCCGCGCTTGCTGCCGGATGACAGCACGCTGGATAAGACGCTTTGGGGCACAGAACTCCTTTGGTAATTAAAGATATTTGCAAATCAACATGGTCCGCCCCGTGGACTCTATACGTGATTTAGCCATGCGTGGGGGACGGATTGGCTGAGTCAAATCACGACATTCCGGGCCGATCGCGGGCTCCGCCGGATTCCGGGGGTTTAGCCGTCATGGCTCCGGTGAAAATATGGCTTCTTCTAACTTGCGTACTACTAACCCACAACCAACTACACGCACTCACTTGCCTTCAATGTCGTCTAACAAATTGCAAAATGGACGGATCCAACATTAGCTCACAAGTCAAAGCCAACTTGGTAGAGAAACCATGGTTCGGCTTCGACCTCGACGACACACTCCACGAATTCCGCCGCGCCTCTTCGGCCGCCACGACGAAGACGCTGGAAGCCATCTCTCGGAAACACGGCACTCCCGTTGACGAGTTGGAGGAGGCGTACGGCCACGTCCTCCGCGTCAAGACGGCAGCCGCATTTTCAGACGGTAAGACGTCGTTTGAGTATCGACGGGAACGCTTCTCTTCGGTGCTGGACCGGTTCGGGTCACCCAGCGACGATGCGGCGTTTTTGGATTCGTTATTGGATATCTATGAGCGGACTTTGAATGAATCGCTCCAGCTAAAGGACGGTGCGGAGGCGTTACTTAAGAAGTTGAAGGCTATGGGGAAGAAGGTTGTTGTTATTACGGAGGGTCCGCAGGATGCGCAGGAGAGGACTGTGAGGGAGCTTGGAATTGATGGGTGTATTGATTTTCTGGCGACGACGAATTTCTTTGGGGTGGCTAAGACGGAGGGACTGTTTGGGGAGGTGCTGCGGCATCTTGGGATCGGGGCGGGGGAGATTGTGTTTGTTGGGGATAGTGTGGTGAGGGATGTCGAGCCTGCTTTGAGGGAGGGGATTTCGAGCGTGCTTTTTGATGAGAGGGGGGAGACTTCTTGGGAGGGGAGGATGATGAAGATGAAGAGTTTGAGGGATCTTGAGAGCTTATTTGGGGATGGGGATGCGTGAGATGGTAGATAGCCAGTCATTCACGATTGCAGCGCCGAGGCGAATGAAGATGTATTGGCATTCTCCTTCGGATATAGGGCGGTCTTGAGCCGGCTCCATTTTCAATTACGGCGACGCGGAGAATCTGATCAAGTCATGCCTTGGGGGAAGTGATCACTTAGATTGAAGTCATTACGAAGCTTTACACGGCTGTCAAAAGCATGGTAGATGGCTGTGGTAGTAGCGGTATCTTGCCAAATTCACGGCGGGACTTATTTTGAGCACCAACACTTTGCACTCAAAGGTACTGTCAAGCTGATCAAGGTAGTATTGGATTGTTTAGTTCAACGGCGTAGACGTGCCTGTATGAGATGGCGGTTGAAACAAGCATCATGATCCATGCTCGGCCATCGACGTCACTGGTAAGCGCTGCCATTGCCAACACCAAAGATCGCCAACAAACCAGGAACGTCTGCGCCTCTGTGCTTTCAAATCAGGAACCTACCCCAGATTTTTGCAGTTACCCATGACCACGATGGCTCGTTTTGAACCGGTTAAAATACCCGTCAAATGCTGGATGACGTCCGTACATGGGTATAGAATCAGCTGTGCTGCGCCGTAGGGCTTGGCAAGACTGCAGTCGGGCGGCTGCCAAGCTGACATTGAGCAACTGGGTAGAGAACCACTGATGAACTAATATCAGATTGTACAAGCAATTTAATCTAGATTGATCATGAAATCTCTTGGGTAAATGATGTTCTATGTATCAAATTTATACGAGTACATACAACAGCTATATCACGATATCTTAGCGAGACTTTATCTTTCCCACGAACGGATCCGAATAATACAGATAACACCGAGCATTACCATCAACCCGAACTCCAAGCACCGGTGCTTCTCGTCATCGTCAACTACAACTCCCCGGCTCTAAGAACCAAAACAACCACCTGTCGCAATGGCTACCGCAACATGTCCAGACCCCCACCTCATAACACAACCCACCCACTTTCCTATCCCAGAAAACCTCACATACGTCGTTACGCTAGGCTACAACACGTATGACACGCCCATGGCGGCCTGCTGCGACCCAAATTCACTCCAGCTCGCCGAGGGCTGCTACAAGTGGTGCGAGCTTCCCGCGACCTACGCCGACGAGGACACGGCGCTGTCTAGGTTCATGGCCTGTCGTCGTCGCTGGGCCAACAAGGAAAAGATGAGTACTAATGGGACATTGAAACATAATGAGACGTCTGGATATCCTTTCTACTTGCACGTTGCTGAAAGCGGACCCGCGGGGTCGGGTGTTACGACTGTGAGAGTTGGTATGTTTGTTTTGGTGGCTTCGATGTTTATGGGTTTGGTTTGATTGTGTTTTTGGTAAATGGGTTTCTTGATACAAGCAAGATGTCATCCAGACTGTATTAGCATGGTGTTGGGAGCTAAGTCAGGAAGTTGTGGGGTGAAGGTATATTCCTAGTGTTCTTGGGTGTAAACATGGCATTGCCGGCCTCATTGCAGTCAACTATATGGAAACATGAGTTTGGATGATTGATGTCAGTAATGAGGGAATCGGGATTGACGGATTTATTCTGGCACATTTGATCATGCATCTCTACTCATTGTAACAATTCTCAACCGTGAAACTTTGAGCATCACTCAATCAAGAGTGACATACTTCAAGAAACTTGCAGAAACGGGTTGCAAATTCGTTGGTTGAGATCCGCATCCGCTCGGGTCCCTCCAAGTGTGACAAATCATAGGCGATGGATCTCTTTCCACGGAGACCACGCAAGCTCACTTGGTGTAGATCTCTATTAGTTTCATTGAGATTTCGATATCAAAGCGAGGGGGAGGTTGATTACCAAGGTGGCCGCAACCCCTCTTCCAATCGACTTACACCGCGATGCGCCAGCTTACAAATCGGCCATCACATCATCTTCAGTCTTACACACCTCACCTCCATACCGTTACTTCACTATAAACTCACAGCCCGAACCTTCTCATCTCGCTACAAGACCTCGATCGACAAGTTTTCATCCAACCGTAACCACAACCAACATCAAACAAACCCTCATAATGGCACCCATCAGAATCGGCATCATCGGCCTCTCCTCAACCGCAACAACAGCCTGGGCCTCAAGCGCCCACCTCCCCTACCTCCTCTCTCCGCGCGGCCGCTCCAAATACACAATCACAGCCCTCTGCAACTCGAGCGTCGAAGCCGCCCAGCGCGCAGTGAAAGCCTATAACCTCCCCTCCTCCACTAAGGCCTACGGCAGCCCCGCCGACCTGGCCGCGGACCCGGACGTGGACCTCGTCGTCGTCTCGACGCGGGTCGATCAGCACTACGACACGGCTCTTTCCAGCGTCGAGGCGGGTAAGAGTGTGTACGTCGAGTGGCCTCTCGCGCAGGACGCGAAGCGCGCGGGTGAGCTGGCGGATGCGGCGAGGAGGAGCGGGGCGAGGACGGTGGTGGGTGTCCAGGGAAGATTTGCGCCGTCGCTATTGAAGGTAAAGGAGATCTTGGAGGAGGGGAGGATTGGAAAGGTGTTGAGTAGTGAGGTGAGGGCGGCGGGTGGTTCGTTGGATCGGAATGTTTTGCCGGCTGGGTTGAAGTACTTCACTCAGCGCGAGATTGGAGGGAATGTGATCACCATCGGTTTTGGTCACTGTGAGTTCATTTCTTTGCCCTTGAAATGGAAATCTCACCAATTGCTAACATGAACTTTCAGTGTTTGACCAGATCCAGCACGTCCTAGGCGAGGCGACCATCCAACACTCGCACACCCAAATCCAACGCCCCGACGTCAAGATCCGCGACCCGTCAACGAAGCAAATCGTCGAGGCAGTCCCAAGCAACGTGCCCGACCTCCTCGTCGCAACAGCGACCCTCCCACCCTCAAACCTCGTCTCCGCCCAAGGCGCCACGCTCCTCGCGCGGTTCCGACGGGGTCAGCCCTTCGGCGGCGAGCCGCAGCTCTCGTGGACCGTCAACGGCGAAAAGGGCGAGATCCGGCTGACGTCGCAGAACAGCGTCGCGCTGCAGGCCTTTGCGGACGTGGACGGCGTCAAGATTGAGGTCCACGACTTTGAGAGCGGCGAGGTGGAGAGTGTGCCGTGGGCGTGGGAGGAGGGGTGGCAGGCGGAGTTGCCTGTGCCGGCGAGATGTGTCGGGGCGGTTTATGAGGCTTTTGCGGAGGGTGAGAGTTTGCCTACTTTTGAGGATGCTGTGAGGCGGCATGAGCAGGTTGATGGGATTCTCTACAAGTCTGGGTGAGTGAGATGGCTTATATTAGTGTGTAGGCTCATGGTCTTGTCCCGGGGCAGGGACCCAACTGAGGTGTTTATCTAAGTATCATGAGAAATGTGATCTGCTTCTTCATCACTCAAGTCACTATTCAACGTTTAGTATTGTGCTGTTTGAGATGTCTTGTGTTTTTAAACTCACTTCATGTTTTGGCGTTCACGCTCACTCTCGGTTGAGTCATCCGGCGGTGGCACTAACACGCAGTTAGGCAGACAGTTGCCTTCAAAGTCAGCCTCACTTCTACATCACCCAACACATATAAGCTATGCAAACCTACCACCCCTCACGAACAGCATACAAGCTTCAAATTCAAAGAATCAGTTCGAACCTTACATCCGTAACCACCATGAACACATCACCAATCTACTTTTGGCGGGAAACGGGGCATGAAGGCTACCTCTCCCAATGGTGGACCTCCAACCCCTTCACCCAATCTCCCTCTCCCTCTTCATCCTCGTCTTCGACCCCCTCCACACCCATAACATTCAAAACAGCAGAACACTACATGATGCACGCCAAAGCCCTCCTCTTCACCGACCCCGCCGTCGCCCTATCCATCCTCAAAGCAGACCACCCGCGCAAAGTCAAAGCCCTCGGCCGCAAAGTGCGCAACTTCAACGAAGCGCTGTGGAACGAGAACAGAGAGCGCATCGTCCGCGAGGGCAATCTCCTGAAGTTCCGGTCCGCGCCAGAGTTGCGGAAGAAGTTGCTGGCGACGGGGGATAGGGAGCTGGTGGAGGCGAGTCCGATGGATCGGATCTGGGGGATCGGGTTCTCGCCGGATAAGGCACCGGGTTCGGATCGGGGACGGTGGGGGTTGAATTTGCTGGGTAAGATTTTGATGGAGGTTCGGACGGCGTTGAGAGAGGAGGCAGAGGTGGAGGAGGAGAGGAAGGGGAGGAAGAGGGAAGTTGTCGAGGCTGAAGCGAAGAGGAGGCGGAGTTCTGAAGAAAGGGAAGGGAGCCAAGTTGTAGACGAAGGGGCTGTTAAGAAGTCGAGACGAGGAGAGAAAGATGCAGGATCCTTCAAGACGGCAAATGACACGGCTGAAGGGGGATAGTAATGATGGGGTGAGGACATTCTCAGTTCTCGTTTGGTATTACATCGCGAAGTATGGGTAATCGCCTCGTCTACATGAAAGACACATTTTTCCTTCTACACGTACACATATAGCCTTCAAGAGCGGTGTTGGTTTTTGTCTTTCCTCCCCCTTTGGCCACACTTCACATTGTGGCAACGTCGCGTCCAGTGTTCGCCAGTCCCATATGCCCCCGAGTATCTATTTTGTACAAGTAATAAAACACTTTTTTGTCGGCTGAAGATTTTTTGCGAGAAGGGGGCTTCTTTGTAGGTTGTTAATTCATCATCCAAACATCTTCCTCGCTTATGAGAAGTACCGCCCCCTTGAAAAGTTGGGAGTGGTGGGTTATGATAGCAGTGTTGGTGTTGTTGGTGGTAGTTTTGGTTTAGTAGTAGTCCTTTCCGCTCTTCTGCATCTCAATGAGACGCCATCCTCTCGTCTCAGGGTTGCTGACATCCTCTGGTACGCGGGTGATACCGATGGCGTACGTCACCAGCTGCACCTTATCCTCCATGCCGGCCGCGAGCTCGCCAGACTTTGCATTCCGGTAGACGTGCACCTCTTGTGTCCTGCAGGTGATGACGAAGACGGGAATTTCACCGGGGTCCAGCATGCGGGCGCGGACAATGTCGACGTGGCGGATATCGAGGATCTTGCCGTCCGACTTGAGGCCGGCGGTAAGGTACTGCTTCGTCAGGGCCTCGTACACGGAGTACTGGGCCTCAGAGAGCCAGAGCTTGAGGGTCTCGATGTCGCCCTTGACGTAGGCGTCGAGAACCTCGGGCAAGATGTATTCGCGGAGCTCCTTCAAGAAGGGCTCCGTTCGGAAGCTGGGGTCCATTGTGCGGAACTTCTTGATGACCTGGGCCGTCTCGTTCTCGGCGAACCATCCTCCAATCTTGTCCGTGACGAGTCGCGCGGTCTCGATGAGGGGGTTTTCGGATTCGCGGTAGACCTTGCCGGCGCTGAAGAAGCCCTGGGCGAACTTGTTCGAGTCCTTGAACTCGTTCCACGCTTCCTTCCAGGCGGCGTCTTTGTGAATCGTGACGTTTGTGCCGGCGCTTCATCACAGTCAGTTGGGAGTTCCGGACCTGCAGGTAATCCGCTTTTTCGAAAACTTACTTGGGGTCTTCCTCAAAGATCTCTGGCTTGCCGTGCTTAAGGGCCTCAGCCTCGCGCTTCTTTCTACGCTCCTCCTTCTCAACCCAGCCACCGTAGCGTGAGCTGCTGCCGTCATCGATAACGTCCTTGACGTTCTTGTAGGCCTCGGTTTCGCGGATGGGCTTGGTCGCCTTGTCGAGCGCGTCTCCCGTCACGTTAGCGACCTTGCGGACGCCCTTCATGGCGGTGGTATCCCAGGTCCAGGCGGCACCCTTTCCGATGGCGCCAGCGGTGGTCTTGACGGCGCTCGTCGCAGCAGAAGAGATGGCGCCAGAAGACTTCTCATAGGCCTCGCGGGCTTTGCGGACTCTCTCGCTCTCGGCAAAGTCCTGGATCTCGCCAGACAATGCCTTTGTCGACTCGTTCCATTCCTTGGACTTGCCAAACTCGGCCGTCAGTGTCTCTCTGAAGACCTCCCACGGCGTCTTGTCCCCATGGGGCGGAGGAGGCGGCATGTCCTCCTTCTTCTCCTTTTGCTTCTCCTCGCCTTCCTTACCCTCCTCTCCCTCGGCCTTCTCGCCCTCCTTCTTCTCGGATGACTCCTCCTTGCCCTCAGACTCGGCGTCCTTGGCCTTGGCTTCCTCGGTGGGCTTCGCGGTATCCTCGGCAGGCTTTGCACCGTCTTCGGTTGCCTTGGGCTTCTCGGTCTGCTGCTGCTGGAGCTGTCTGGCCGTCAGGTGGAAAGACCTGGATTGCATCGAGCTCGAGATGCTGCGGACATCTTCAGGGAGAAACTGTGATCGCAATGAGGTGGATCGTGCAAAGGTGTGTCGTGATGAGACCAGCACAGCGTTACTACTGATGTCTGTGGAAAGTAACCGGCTGAAGGCGGGTGTCCTGCTGTGGTTTTGGACCGCCGCCCGCGCGGAAGCTCTTATGAGCGCATTCTGAGGATTTCTCCTCGCCGATTGCACGAGAGAGTTCATACTGTGTGTGTGTGTGTGTAGTATAACCCAAGCCAACCGCCTCTCGACGATTAACGCAAAAGAGGATATTAGAAAAAGAGAGGGAGGAGAGGGGCGGAAAGGGGATGCAGATGACGATTGGGGGCGAGTAAAGTTGCAAAGAAATTTTGGCTCGCGACAGGTTCCGACGGGGGTTCCAGAAGCTCTGGCGCTGCAGTGCTGGGCGAGCGATCTCGGTTGACAGCGGAGCGCGGAAAAAATCTGGGCCCCTGTTCAACCGAAGACGACCCGGCGCGCCACTCGGGAGCCAATCAGATAGCGGCAATGTCTCCAGACGTTCGAACGGGAGCTTTACCAAATTTCTGAAATCTTCATTGCAGCTGGGCCATCATCGTCACGAACAGGTCGCCCTCTCTCCCCCTATTGCGACAGGAAGCCTGACACAACTCCTGCGATGAGCTCCGCACCAACGACTCGCCTCTTGGCGAGATCCATCTTTCAGACTGCCGCCCGTCCATCCCCGATATCACGATGCTCCCCGGCTTTCCTCCGACCCTTCTCTCAGACCCCGATTCAGCGCGCCGACGATGCGAAGAAAGGAGGCCAGGAGCTTCTCGCTGCCATGTACGGCTCCCGCTCCACAGCCTCAACACCGGCACCGACACAGGGAACTAGCTCGCCCAGCCACAACCAGACAATGCTTCTCCAAACCCTGAACAAGGCCGCCGGCAAGTCGCTAGATGGCGGTCTCGCCTCAAGCGGCTCAGGCCTCGACGACCTTGTCCCCGAACAGGAGGACCTCTTGGAGCCGTACCACATGCACATCTACTCCCACAAGCACAACACGCACGTGACGGTCACCAAGCCCGACCGTGGCGCCATCATCTCCCTGTCGACCGGCAACATCGGCTTCAAGAAGTCCAAGAGGAAAGGATACGACGCCGCCTACCAATTGACGGCATACGTCCTCGAGAGGTTGAACTACGCTGGATGGCACAAGAAGATCAACAAGCTCGAGATCGTGCTCAGAGGATTCGGTGTTGGACGTGACGCGGCAGTCAAGGTTCTCATGGCCCCCGAGGGTAAGCTTTGGAGAAGCAAGGTCATCCGGGTGGCGGATTCAACGAGATTGAAATTTGGTGGAACGAGGAGCAAGAACCCAAGACGTGTCTAGAAAGGGGGTACGCTGTCTGGAGTTCGCGGGGGAAGAACAACGCAATAACGCCTGTACAATACATGTACAACTGTATCATATCACAAGAGCAAATTTCCTTGCATTCTGATGGTTTCATATCAAAAATGCAGATGTCCAACCCCACTGGTATCAAGTGCTGTACGCCCATTAAACCCAAACGCCAGACCTTTGTAGCGCCAAACATACCGCATACCCTGATGTAGAGAATCGACGACGACGACCTCTACTTTCTAACCGGAGCCCTTTCGGCAGCAGGTAGGTCGCGACCCGCAGTATCCCGTACGGCCTTCTTGCCCTTGCCGTTGCCGCCGCGGCGTCGTTCCTCCTCGCTATCCCAATCGGCGTCCTCCGCTTGACCCTTGGAGTTCTCGGTGAGGAACCTCGGCGGCGATTGCTTCAGCATCCTAGAGCCTTCGTGAGCACGATCATCCTCCTCCTCCTCTTCCAGAAGTGCGCCGTCGGCGGTATCGTATTCGGGTGGGTCGATCCAGTCCCTAGGAACAACGCAGGGTAATGCGACACCGATGCTTGCCGCACGGTTCAGCCAGCCGGGACCGGGACGGCCGGTAAGCTTTCTGCAGAGATAGGAAGTAAAGTGGTTGCAATTTTTCGTCAAGAGGTTATAGGAGGTTCCGAGGAAGTCTCTCGAGGCTTCTTCCAGAATCGCGTCGATCTCGGCCTGGGTTGCAAAGGTAAAGCCGTGGAGGATCTCGGACTTGAAAGTGCCGCCGGGGGGCTCCGTCTTGGGCTTTGTCCAGTATACTCCCGTCACACCTCGTCGCTCGTGCCCGCCGTAGGCGTACTCTCTGCCATTGATCACAACACCCGAGTGCAGCAGCGAAGCGCCAAATGTCCAAAGAACAGAGGATAGGCGTCCTGGCTGCAGTCACTTTGTTAGCTGGGCTGGCGGTGACGGAACCAAGCTGTCGGTTCGGTGGGTCCGAGCAACTTACAGGTAGCAGATCATAGACATGGATTGTGACTTCGGTTTTGGATAATGACAATGTCGACCTATGCGACGCGGTAGACTGCCTGGGGTTGCTCGATCGTGGAGGCATGTTTTTCTGCAATTTGTCGGGTGAGGTGTTTTTGTAGGTTGCGGGTGCTGCTGCCTTTTTGGCGTATTCTAGGTTACGTCGTGAGAGCCTGGGCAGCTGCGAGTCGGGTGGGAGGGGCGCGGCGTTGTTGGAGAAGATGAGACGAGGCACGAAACGGAGAAGAGGGCCAGTCTGGGGAATAAATGCGCTTAGGGAATACTTTCGAGGACACGAGATATGGGGGATGTTCCAGTGAATGAAGGACGCAAATACAATAAAATAGGCTGGCTGCAGAATGAACAGAAACGTTTGACGGAACTCGCGACGAGAAGGAGACGGAAGCAAACGCAATGCACCCGGCAAAGAACCTCAAGGCAGGTCTCGTAGCTTAGGTTCCTTGGGCTTGGCTCGGACGGTGCTCGGCGCTGAGAAAGCGGGCGTCAGCAGAAAGGCAAAGTGCTGCATTGAACAACCTCAAGGAGCCTGGAGGTTGCTGGTTGATGGGAGCTTGAAGGTAAGGTCAGGTACATGGGTAGCCAGACTTGGGCCATAGAAATCGGGTGGTGGTATGCGGGATGCACAAGTACTCTTCACTGCAAGCGGGTTGAGCCAATTGCGATCCAATAGGATGCAAGGAACGAGGTCAGAGGTGGCTCCCAGCCCCGCGCTTTCCTCCAGCTT